AGAGTTTCTTGTTTTTCAATGCAGCATAGTATTCCATTGTGTGATTATTCCACAGCTTCTCTATCCATTCATTTTTTGATGGGCACTTAGGTTGTTTCCAACTCCTTGCTATTGTGAACAAATCTGCAGTAAACATGGGTGTGCATATATCTGCTTGGATGTCAGTTATGGTCTCTTTGGGGTATATTCCCAGTAGTGAAATTGCTGGGTCAAATGGGATCTTTATTTGCAACTTTTTGAGAAAGCGCCACACTGCTTTCCACAATGGCTGCACCATTTTACACTCCCACCAACAGTGAATAAGAGTTCCAGTTTCTCCACAATCTCAACAGGATTTGTTGCTTGCTCTGCCTACCTTTTAAGAGCATATTTTTGTTTCCTTAGAAATAACTGAAACTGTTTTCATCTATTGTTATAATTTACTCACTATGACAACTAGAGTTGGATTCATTGAAAACTAACAGAAACCACAGAGAGACTAATTTAACACAAATGGAGTTTATGATGACCCAGCCCCAGGCCTTTCTTCTTACCACCTCTGTGATAGCTTACCCCACCTTCTGGCCATGATTGATGGCTGCCAAAAGTCCAAAGCTCCAACCAGATCAGAAACATCCACTGAAAGAGTACTGCTTTCTCAGTATTTCAGGCAGAGAGATTGCAGAGGGGAGTCCTGGTCAAGCTAGAGTTATGTCACTGAATGAATTAGTTGGGAGAATGGGGCACTATGTAATTGGAAAGGAAAAAGGACTGCTATAACAAGAAAAGGAGGGAATGTTATGGGAAACTTCAGATTGAACTTAATTTACAGTCAATGTTAGCAGGTGTGTGTTTTTCCTTTATAAGTCTCACTTTCCTTAAATTAAATGAGATTTATATGTAAAAGCATTTGTTGCTGACTCACAAGATTGAATTTGGAGTGGAATTTGGTTTTGTTTCTATCACAGTTGCAATTTAATTTACTACATATGACAAAATAATCATTCACTTTAAAATTATTTAAGTGTGAACTACATATTAGACTAAACATTCACTCTAGATTGGTACATTGATATTCAATTTCCTGGTTTTAATAAACGTGCAGTTGTTATTGCTATTGTTAGGTGCGGTGGAGTCAGCTGAGATGCATTGTGCCTTGTGTACAACACAGTTGTGCCAAATCCTGCACCATCCTCATAATCTTTGCTGGGATTAAGCCCATTTTGCATGGATTGTGTTAGTCTGTCTCATTGAGGGTCTTTCTCTTTTTGGCTGATGCTCCACTTTGCCAAGCGTGATGTCCTTTTCTAGGAACTAGCCCCTCCCAGTAACAGGCTCAAAATACGCAAGACAAAGCCTCAGCACCTGTAGTTCTGATTGCATATCTTCTTAGTGTGTTCTTACGGCAGTTCGTGGCATATGAAGATTCTTTGACAGTAACACAATTCAAAGGCTGCAATTCTTCAATTTTATTTATTAGCCAACTTTCATATGTATATGAAGCAACTGATATTTCTCAGGCTGAAAGAACTGATGGAAAAATTTAAGCCTTAAGTTGCTGTACTGGTTTTCTGTGAACAAAATGTTGAGTGATGCAGGAAGTATCAAAAGAAGGTAGAAGAAATACAGAGTTACAATGACTAAAAGAACAGATCAGCACTGAATCATTTCAAGAAGTAGCAAATGACCAAAACCCCGGTGGTACTCAAGGAAGAAGTCCAAACTGCACTGAAGGCATTCACAAAGGTTAGACCAAAGAATTGATGAAATACCAACTAAGATGTTTCCACAAAAGGCTACTGCCTACATGTACTTACTTTTCTATGCCAAGGAAATAGGCCTACCGACTGGAAGAGTTCTGTATTTGTTTCCGTTCTAGAAATAAGCGATCCAACAGACTTCGGAAATTGCCAAAAAATGTCATAAATATCACTCAAAAGTAAAATTTTTGTGAGGATTATTTAAAAAGAACTGGAAAAGTATATGAACAGTGAACTACCAGAAATTCAAACCAAATTCAGAAGTGGCTGTGGAACAAGAGATATCATTACTCATGTTGGATGAGTGCTGGCTGAGAGCAGAAAATACCAGAAAGGTGTTTACTTATTGGCTGTGCAAAGGTATTTGATTACATGGATTATAAGTAATGGATAATATTGAGAAGAATTTAAATTCCAGAACACTTAAGTGTGATTATGTAATACCTGTGTATAATTCAAGAAACAGTTGTTCAAACAGAACAAAAGGATGCTGTATGGTTTAAGATTAGGAAAGGTATACATCATGACTGTTATCTTTTCTCCAAATTTACTCCGTCAGTATGCAGAGCAAATAGTTTGAGAAGCTGGACTATGTGAAGAAGAATGTGGCTTTAGGATTAGATTGTCAGCAGGCTATCCAACCTTGCTTGCAGAAAATGAAGAAAATTTAAAGCGCTTACTGAAGAAATTCAATAAGAATTACATTTCAGCTTCAAGGAGGGGGGAAAAATCTTCAAAACCAGACCACTTATAATAGATAAAAATATTAAAGTAGTCAACAATTTCATTTTCCTTGGTTCCACAATTAAGCGGCAGCCAAGAAATAAAGAAAGATATTACTTAGACAGTAAACAAGGAAGACTCAGAAGGATCGATACCTTTGAATTGAGGTATTGGCATAGAATGTTGCATGTACCATGGACCAACAAAACCCCAAACAAATCCTGCTTGGAGGAAGTGCAGCCACAGTGTTCAAGGATGGTGAAACTTTATCTCACGTATTTTGAGTGTCTGCGTTCGTTATGCAGATGATACAACCCTCCTTGCTGAAACTGAGGAGGACCTCATGCACTTGCTGCAGAGGGTCAAGGACTGCAGCCTTCAGTATGGACTGACTTTCAATGTCAAGAAGACAAAGATTCTCACTACTGGACCAATTGGTAGCATCAGGATGGATGGCGAAGAGATTGAGATTGTTCACAGCTTCAGTTTGCTCGGCTCCATGGTCAACACTCTTGGCACCAGTAGCCAGGAAATCAAAAAACATATTGTGATGGGAAAGTCTGCTGTTAGGGACCTCTCTAAAGTACTCAAGAGCAATGGTGTGTCTCTGGAGACTAAGGTGCGTCTGATAGAGGCCATGGTCTTTGCAATCACTTATTGTACATCAGAGAGTTGGGCAATGACTAAGGAGGAAAGAAGGAGAATTGATGGCTTTGAACTGTGGTGCTGGAGAAGAGTATTGAATGTACCATGGACTACCAAGAAAACAAACAGATTCATCCTGGAGAGGGTCAAATCAAGCAGCTCCTTGGAGGCAAGGATTCTGGGGCTTCGTCTGACATACTTTGGGCATGTTGCAAGAAGGGACAGATCCTTTGAGAGGGACATCATGCTTGGGAGGGTGGAGGGTCTGTGCAAGAGGGGAAGACCCTCTATCAGGTGGATTGATTCAGTGACTGGGGTAATCGGGATGGGTGTGTCAGAGGCAGTGCCATTGGCACAGGATAGAGCAGGGTTTAGGGCTGTTGTACATAGGGTCACTATGAGTCGCCAACGACTCGACAGCACATAACAACAACAACAACATTTTGAGTGTGATGTTAGGAGGTGCCCCTACTTGGGAAAAATAGAGGATCAACAAGATTGACAAAGATTGGCTTGAGTGTGATGGCAATTTTAAGACTGTCACGTGATAAAGATTTTGATCTGTTAAGTTGCTCTGTGTTGTAATTGACTTGATGGGACCCAGCAACAGGAAGAACTGACTTGATACATAAATTTTAAAATTTTACTTTAAAACTATTTTTGTGTTTCTTTTTATCATAAGTTAACCATTATTTGCAAAAGTGCTCTCTTGTTCTTTTTTTCCCTAAGTGCTCTTTTCTGAGTCTTACTCGTCTCCAGTCCTAGACTTTTCTTAAGTCGTTTATAGAATTTAAAAATGCATTTCATACATTTTTTTTATTTTTGAGAAGATACACGGTAGAAGACACATCAGTTCCACAATTTTTACGTGTACCATTCAGTGATAGTATGTTCTTTCAGTTCTGCAGTCATCCACAGCTTCCTTTACTGAGTTCCTCCTCCATTGACAAATTCATAACTCCCTAAGTTGCATAGCC